TTTTTGATTTAGGTCTTTGCTCGTTTTCTAAAGATCCAAGATCCTGAAAAACCCGAAAAGCCCTTTCGGATTTTCCACAGATACCTGATTTTCTAGAAAACGCGCAAAGACCTAAATCAAAAATCTGATCCCATCAGTCCACGCAGTTAGGTGTCTAGTTTAAAATAAAATCAACCCGAGATCTCTAGCTTGAAGTATATTTAAAAAAAGTGTCCCACAGTGGAGGGTGGGTTTTTGATCTTAGACTTTGGAGAACTCCGAAACGGTAAGAGATAGAGAGGTAAAATAACTTTCATAACCACACTTTGATATGGCAAACATTTGCTGAAAGTTTCATCAAAATCGGATGTAAGACAAAAAAGTATTTTTGAGGGGGGCCCTTAACTGACGTCCTACAGAATTTGGATGTAATCCACCATATAACATTCCTTTTTCAAAATTCACACGCAAAAAATTCAACATTTTCCTTCTGACATAATATTTTTAACTGTTTGTTATACTCAGCTATTTTCTCGAAGTTACCTGTATTTAATTTTCGCCCTCGAAATGGAACAGCAACCATACATACATTAACCCTTGAATTAATTAATTTTGTGGTTTTAATTATACTTTCTGCTTCTTCTATACAATTACTAACTGTATGGTTACTAATAGAATTGGTTCCACAGACAATAATAGCTGATTCTGATGATTGAAGCAGATTTTGGTATTTACTTCTTAATTTCATATTTAAATTCTTGAGATCTCCTCCTGAATGTGTTCTAATTTTAACAGTGTTAGTTTTATCACTCAGAACTCTAGGGTCTAGATCTTGTAATAAACTGTCACCAACAATAACAGTTGTTTTAATATACAGTCAGATTACACAATTTAACTATATAAAAATAAAACTTGAAAATTGAAAATTGACTTTACCCGATTACTTGTTAATAAGATTAATTATGTTTTATTTAAATCAAGTAATCACAATAATGTGCTAAACCTACATCCGATAACCGTAAATAAGCCAACTAATGAACAAATTAAATATCAATAAGAATAATATTTTGACCAGAACCTGGTTCATAAATAATCAAACATAATGTACTAATAATTGTAATTAATGTGACGACGGCGACCAGTTTCAGTCTAATGGCCCTTTTCAAGTTGATAAATTACAAAAAATGCAACTATATAAGTACAACGCTAGAATATAACCAGCGTAAGAAGTGAAAATAAAGCGTTCAAATGTCTGTGTGTATGTACGTCCGTCATACTGCCACATGACTATATGTATGTACGTCCATCACACGGTATTCGAATGTTATGTGTATATGTACGCCGTCACACTCATGTGTTTTAGCGGTAGACACCGCCATCTATCACTCTGCTTATCTTTTGGATAATACTGACCAATAGTAGTTCTGTCTGGACGGATGGACTAACACGCATTTAAAGGTTGTAAGACTCTCCCCTCCGGTGGAGAGAATAATGGTGAATGAGTCATCAGTGTTCTTTGTTTTATAGTGGTATACAGCACACTGCGACAGTCACTAGCGGGTAGAGTAGGGTTAGCTAGCTTTGTTGTCTTCATATGATGGGTTGCACTTGGCGTATTTACTCAGCGTTACTTTACCAGGTAAAGTAGTGGTAAGTTGGTTAGTACGAGTAACTAATTTCGTTACATCTTTCCTTTCCTTATTTAGTTACTGTTTCAGAATGCAACGAGGTAATGATCGTTTTCTTCGTCACTTTTTTGGAGGAGTAACGAAGAAGGAACGAAATCGAAAGTAGTCTTTGAATAGTGGGAGACCCTATGATAGTGATTGTGACATAGCGGCCAGGAATCAACTGTTGATTTTTCATTTATCTTATAGAAGTTTATACAAATGGATAGATTGATTTGTGAACAGCTATCACCTAATGCGATGACACAATAGCGCTAGCTTTCTGATCTTGTTACGATAGGAAGGGAATGAGTTACTGGCCAGGGATCATGTCCTTCCTATCGTAAGTAGAGTGTGAATGTGCGTTGGTGGTGTGTTTACACTGGAAATATAATGGACAACAAGCAACAGCTGAACGGCGCCTGTTGAGGGGGCCTCGTATCTCCAGCCAGAGTACCTAACTGGTGGCGGTGGCAACACGATGAGCCCACGGGTCCACACGTTCGGGGCGATTGTATCGTAGGGCATGTGGATTTGCTTGCTCATTTCGTGATGGTTAGGAGACCGCCACCCCACCACCAGGAACGGTTTCTGGTCGCGTGCGCGTGCGCGAATATCTATTTATTATACGAATCGTTTTATTATAAAAAAGGACAACTTGCCAACCACAAACAACATCAACGTGCTTCGATTGAGAATCGTTGAATTCGATGATTCCCGCAATCGGCGACATAGAGATTGCCATGTCGATCGAATGATAAACCCACGGGACAGTCCAACTGGTTTGCTTGCTGTCCTCTACCATTTCCACCAACAATGACATTTCCCTGTGTCGCTCCGTTGTACCAACGCATCACTCGATCATTCCAACAGTCTGCCACATAGACTGTGCCCAATGGATCGACGAACACGCCGTTAGGATACGACAGTTGAGTCAACGCATTCCCTTTGCCTCGACCACCAGCCACAACAATCCCTTCTTTCGCACCCTTGTGCCACTTCATCACACGATGATTCTCGTTGTCCGACACGTAGACAGAATGATCTCGATCAACAAAGACGTAGGTGGGATAGTTGAGTTGATTGAGATGATCACCTCGTCCGTTGCCTCCCGCCACCGCTGTTCCCTTCGTCTCTTCCACTCGATATCGTCTCACTTCATCCTTTTGATAATCGGGGACGTAGAGAAATCTCTCATCGTCCATCGTCAATCCCCAACAGTCGATCTCCTCGATGATGGTTTCTCCACTTGTTCGACTTCGACGAGGCCATCGCATCACTCGTCGGTTCCTTCGGTCACAGATGATGAGACTGTCTGTATCTTTGTCAACAATCACATCTGTTGGATCATTCAACTGATCAGTTCGATTTCCTTCTCCATTGCCACCGGCCACCACTTGACCACTTGTGGCATCAGTCTTCCATTCCACAATACGATGATTGACGGAGCCAGCGATCACGACAGTTTGATCATCATGCACATAGAGACCCAAAGGACACGGGAGTTGGTTGGATGCGTTGCCTTCTCCGTGACCTCCAGCAATGGTGACGCCGTTCTGTGTCCAACGGGCATGGAGAGGAATGTTTGGGAGAGCTGCAATCAAATAAATTAAAATGAATGTTATTGATCGTTCGCATCACAACAAGTTCAAAACTTCAGGATATGGTTAATTTTATCCGCTAAAGGTAATTATCGAAAAAAATAGAAAAAGCAAGTTCTTGCTACTGGATTCTCTAGAAACTCTTTCGGAAAACCTTATAATTTTCTAAGGTCTCTTTCTAGATCTTCTATAAATAAGATACAGCAGAGTCTCAATAGTCTACATTCTGACGTTCTGAATTTGTTGTGATATTTTCTGAGCGAACAGCCAATTTTTTAATATTAGGTGAAAACAGTCTAAAAATTCAAATTTTTCGTAAGGCACAATTTTGCTAGATTTTAAAAACTGTTTCTAAAACCAAATATTGTCACAAGACTCAGCATGATCGATTATGTATAGTCCATCAGTTCTCAAAGCTTCCAATAGCCACCGGGTGTCAGTCACGCGACTCGTCGGAAATCCGATATAACGTCCGAACCGCGGAAAATCACGCCCGTTTTGAAGAAGAGATCCCTAGCTACCAGTCCATGAAAAAAATCGATCCGATCCTATTGGAAAACTTTTACACACTACTTACAAAACCTGTTTCAAAAAACTCTTATGAAAATTATTTTGCTTGTGAAAACATGTCCGCAAGTCTCTTCTTTCGCATGGCAAAAACCAGAGCTATCCAGCTGCTTTCTATCAAAAGTTATTAAAAAACAGCCATTCTTCTTATATATTGAAATGGATAGTAGTTACAGTTAACCAGCAACCAATGGTACTTGTAGAAGGGGAACAATTAAAAACTGTAAGGTTACATTGACTTTATTTATCGTTGAGATAAGTATGATAACTTCAGTCAATATAGGTGGAACGAAGTTAAAGCACTTAATTCTAAGATGAAACTTGGAGCAGTGGTAAGACAAAGCATACTCCTACTGAATTGTTAATGACATTTGAAAAATAGAGAAACTATTTAATAAATGAATAATAAAAAATAAGGTTATTATATAAGACATACGTTACCGTTTACTCGTCATTCGCAATCTATAATTTAATACCAAAGGAATTAAAAGGATTTAAGTTTGAATTAACATTACAGCAAGGCGTCTTTTTTCACTGGCTTTTAAAGGAAATGGCGATCGAGCACATTAACATGGCTACATATGAGAAAACTACCGAAACCAGAGAGGAAAAGATAATTCAGTATAATGTAAATTCGTTTTATCATTTTTACAGTTCACCTATACTTCCTTAAAAGGTAAATTCACACGCATCTGGGAGGTCATATTCTCGCTCTAATATGAATACAAATGAATCTTCAAAGTCAATATAGGCGAATATCTATATGTTAATATTAGTTCACACTAAACGGAAATTATAAAGATTTTAGTTTGAATTAACATGAAAACAAGGTGTTTTTTTCAGGCTGACTTTTACAGTAGATCGAGCAGGTTAACATTAAAACAAAGAAGGAAACAACCAAAAAGACAAAGTGGGTAGTATTAGCTTAGGTTATAACAGAAAAATAATCGAAGATAATGTTAATTTACCTTAAACTTTTTACCGTATTGTGTCATTCATGAAGAGAATTGCATAAAACACTTAACTGTCCACAACTGCAAGCGTGATCTTTTTAACAGGCCTCTACTCAGGCCGAATTCGCCCGATCAGATCATGTTGGATCCTTTTAATTCCTGTGATTTCCGAAGATCGCGCGTCCGATCGGAATCTGCCCAATTCTTTCGCTTTCTGATATTTGATTCGTGGAGGTTCCGTTAATTTCCGGAAATCGGAAACGGAAACTATATAGATATATCTCTCTATTGACATTTGCTTCACATATGTCACATTTTTTATCACAGAAACGAGAAAAGAGAAAAGAGACCAGTTATTCAACAAGATATGTTTACACTTTCAGACTACTCTGCCACTCATTATTAAATATATCAGACTGTTTCTTCTCCTTTGTTCCGCCATTTTATCAGTTGAGAAACAAAATGCGAGAATATAACTGTAATCTTTTCTGTAAAGAAATATGTAACTCTTGTTCTATTTTCACCCCAAACGAGTCGGACTTTACTACCCTTCGATCTATTGCGAAAAGGTCAAAATACTTCAATCTACTTCACGCTACTTAACAATGTGCTTCTGTAGCTCTCAGCACGTAGCGTCTAACTTCGAAACGACAGACAGGAAGAATGCTTCTGAGGCTTGTCTAGTATCATCAAGCAGACTTCGACATACTAAATGAATAAATGAGTATAGGATTTGAGCAGGAAAATTCTTCTGAGGATCTCCGAGCTTCTCTAGGAAATACTCTTCGCGTGTGTGGGGACGGGGTGGATGATAGATCTCTGGTGGCAGATAAAAAGTTCCTTGGAGCTCGAGTTTTCATAATGCTTCCTTCTATGAGATATTAGGATCCCAATGAGCCAGAATAACCCCACTTTTAGCCCCCGTTCTTCCGAGGTACTACGTCCGATCGAGCGGAAACTTGTTTTACTAAACAGCCACTAGGCATTGTTTGTAGTACCTATTTTTTTTGTTTCAAAAAATATTGTTCTCTTCAAATAAAAGCGGAAAAATAGTGAGAGCCCTAAAAAGCGCTTACTTTTCCACTAGGATAAATTTTGTAAAATCTGCCAAAAATCAGCGGAGCAATATTTTCGGAAACAAAAAGGAACCGGCACCCTGAACAGTGTCGAGTACCTGTGAAAAAAGTTTCAGTTCAATCTGTCTTCGCGCGTCGGAGAAACGGCGGCGATTCAGTACTTTTTTTCTGAAAAAATTGATTTTGAGATAAAACGGAAAAACGTCGTTTTTTCGATATTTCGGATTTTTTATTTTTCTACGTATAGTTATCTACTATTGCACTTCCAGAGCTATTAGGAAGATACGTCGTTGACCCACATATTGGACGACGAAATCGCTTTTTAGTAGAGATAATTTGCTACACCAAAGAGCTCAGGAACGTGATTTTTTAGATAGGAGTAGTCGATTTTTCAGGATCAAAATAATAATGAAAGCTTTTCATTCAGGTAGCATTCGATAGAGGACACTTTGATATCTTTCTACAGATAATGAAATCGAAAAAAATGAAGTTTCGGGGTCGGGAAAGGGTGGCTGCCTTTAAAAAACTGGTACTGTAACAACGAGTTTCGCTCGGAAAACTGCTTCTTTTTCTCTTAGACAAGATCAACGAAATAGTGGAATGGACTTCGGATTCGGATTCCACGATCTGATTACCTTTAGTCAAGTTTGATAGAACTCACGTGCTGAAAACTTGGCTGTTTTCTAATTGGAACAGCAATGGAGAAAAGACCACAGATGAAAGTGTCCCAGAGAACCGTACTATTAACGATTCTGTCTGTGACACCATATGGGAGGATTATAAACGAAGTATCATTAAACTATTGAAATGAACTTCGAGTTTCTTGAGAAGGACTCACGAGGAATGATCCCCAACTGATAAATCGCTTTTTCAACGAAACCGACTGGACTATAGGTAGTCGACGATGCTGATTCCGAATACCACCATGAATGCTGCCGCTAGGCCTTCAAAGACCGGTA